CCCAAGCTTTCAATTGTTTGGTCAGCGAATTTTATACCTGAGGGAATCTTACAAGTTACTTAGTCCCATTATACATTTATTAATTTTTTATGTTATATCTGATATCCTTGAGTTAGACAAAAGTTATTTTGCCACATTATTTATTCATACCTGTATTCGGGTTCTCCATACAAACAAAACCAATAGAATGCAGAGACCTACTTATAGATATATTTCCATCTATAGACTTATAATCTATATCTGTCTATCTACCTTTCCATCCATCCATCCATTCATCTGCCTAGAGAGAGAGAAAGAGAGATTTATTTTAAGGAATTGGCTCATGTGATTGTGGGAGCTGGTAAGTCCGAAATCTGTAGGGCTGGCTAGCAAACTGGAAATTCAGAATTGATGTTATATTATAGTCTTGAGTCTACAATCTGTAGGGTAGGGCAGCAAGTGGGAAAGTCAAGCAGAGTCTCTCTGTTTCAGTCTTTAATTAGAGTTGTTTCTTTTTCTGGAAAACTTGTCTTTGCTCTTAAGGCCTTCAACTGATTGGTTGAAGCCCCCATGTTACAGAGTGTAACTACTTTACTCAAGTCTATTGACTATAAATGTTAATCACACCTTAAAAATATCTTCACAGCTACATCTAAACTGGTGTTTGACCAAACAACTGGGCACCAAGCTGATACATAAAATTAACTGTCACAATGTCATCCTATCTCATCCTATAAATAAATGATTTGAGACATGCATATATTTTACAAAATGATACAAAAAGAATATTGGAACCAGAACTAGAAAATCAGGCTTAGATTATCCTATTTCATACGTAAATTTAAAAGGCATAGAGATTTTAACTGATTTGTCCAAAAGTTGATGACAAAACCAAGGCAGTGAGCATACATTGATTCCCCTTAGGGCAGCCCAGACCCTTGGATCTTTACTTGGGACATTTTACACTGTGGAGGACTCACAATTCTGGACTTCTTTATTTTCAGGGACATTACTTCCCATGGTTTCGGGAATGAATGAACAGATAAAAATGCTGCCTCGATCCTGGCAGTCTATTTTGTTCCCAACCAATGCACAAGCATGAGAAGGGGTTGATGGTGATCATGCTGAACTTTATCTGAGCTCTGTAATTTTGGAAAACAGTGACATTAAGAAATCCCTCCAACTTTCTCTTTTCTGAAATTCCCCACCCTTCTATGTTCTGGGAAATGGTATACCCCAAAGGACCACCCTCTCTATGTGACTTAGATAAGACTAACTGTCGACTCTTTCTCATGTCTCCCTTGTTGACCTGTAACTGTGACAAAGCCAAACACAGATCTTCCCTCTTTTGCCTAAACCTGCTGACAAGACCAGACACAGACTCTCCAATTCCTTGTTCTTTGTCTTGTGAATGATTAGCTAACATTAGAACTATCTGTCTGCCTGAAACTAGCTAGACACAAAGATAAACATTTCCTGTTCAGTGAACTGAGATGTCTCCTGACTGCAAAATCCCACCCATAAATCCCCCTATATGTAACTTGTCTACTTCTCAACACCCCCCTGCCAAGGAACTCTAGCCTTTGGATCTGGGGTACTCTTCTTATTGCAATTAACTGAGTAACATCAATTTTCTTACTTGTTCAGGTTTTGTCTTTGGCAATAACATCTACCAAAGGGCTGAGGATAAAGAATCGGCTTCCTTTCTCTCCAGGCAAGATGGGGGTGGGGTGGTGGTGGTGAGGTTGATGTGATTTTAAGGCAGCCACATCCTTCTTGGCAAGATCTTACACTTTGGATGTTACCAAGTTGACGCCACTTTCAAAGCAGGTTATCAGCAGACAAGCCACAATTAACATAGGTACAACTGGTCACGTAGCTCATGGGAAATCTATGACTGCAAAAGCTATTTCTGGAGTTCACACTGTCAGCTTCAAAAGTGAACTAGAAAGCAATGTTACAAACTTGGCTATGTTAATGCTAAGGTTTAGAAACCTGATGACCCAAGTTGTCCTTGGCCAGAATGTTATAGATCCTGTGGAAGTAATACACCCAATGAGTTTCCTACGGACATTCCAGGGACCAAAGGAAAGTTCAAATTACTCAGACATGTTTCCATTTTTGATTGTACTGGCCGCGATATTTTGATGGCTATTACGGTGAATGGTGCCGCATAATGTTGGATTGAATCTACATTTTACCAGAAATTAGTCATTCCCAATAATGTCTAATTTATACATCAATGCAAGGTTTGAAATGACACTGTCTCCTATAACCAGCTTTTGCTATAGCATGCATAACACCGAATCTATTTGAAATAAATTTTTTTTTCTTAAAAAAAAATAAGTAAACCTAAGTAAAAAAAGAAGGAAAAAAAGTGATATAAACACACTGTGAGACAGTTGGGTCATAGAGTTATAAGGAAAAGAAGGTGTAGTTGTCTCAAGTCAGATACTATGGCTAGTTAAACCTGTCTCTCCTCAACCGGATTATTAAGCCATCGCCAATTCAGCTTCAGGGGAGAGAAACAGTGAAGGAATTCATTGATTGATTTCTGAATTGACCTGAATGAAATCTATTGATTTCTTCAGTGCCAGATAATCAGGGGGAAATTAAAGATTGAGAGAGGAACAAAAGCAGCCCCTGACGAAAGCTGGCTGGGCACTCCCATCTATGCCATGTTACTCTCCCGTTGAATGTAATCTCAGACAAGGTTACTCAGGGACCTTAATGAAGTGAGGCAAAATAAGGCCACTTGATAACTCTGTCTAGGCCTCTGTGCCACACACACAGTACATCCTGCTATCTTGGCTAAAATGAGTGACTGCTGCTTTTTTACCAATTTCAGCTCCCTTGCTCCAGCCTGCCCTCCTAGCAGGTAAGATTTATTGAGACAACCAAAGGTAGAATTGCCCCTGTTTTCCGACAGCATCCAATCCAGAGAGAATCTACTTCCTTAGACCCTCCTTCAAGTCATCCTCTTACTGAGACACCCTATGCTGCAGCAAGTAATTAACCCAACCTGTTTACCTGGAGAACACTGACATGGTACCACGGCTAAGGTTACTTGAGTCCATAGATGGAGGCAGTCCTGAAGAATTAATGAAATATGTTAAATTTCTTAAAAAGGCAAAATGGTTTTTTGAGCCTGTCACAAAATATAAGCTATTAAAGGAAACTGAGTCACCAAGGAGTCAGAACTAGTGTTTAATCTCTGCTAGGGAGCTGGTTTAGCGACAGAAATAAAGGACTTCCCTGAATGAAGGGCTATGATCGGGGGCTCCAGGGGCTAGGCACATTTTCATTGATCGCCTTTAGGAGATCAGCATGCAGAATAAATCAACACAACCAAAAACCTTTCTAGATCCTCTTTCTACATTCTTATCTTCTGGAACTTCAGGAGCTGGCTCCAAGTTCATTATGTTCCCCAGTCTACCCCGAAATTCAACAAGAGAGGTTATCTCTGTGCAAAGCCCATACAACTAAGAATACTAGAATTAAAACATTTGCAATCCCTAATGAAATAATAGGGATGCTCCTGGAAGAGGAGCATCAATGGCTGTTAAAACCATCAGGTGAAATGTTATTTAACTTAAATTCTTAGACTATATCAGGCATAAAAACTATAAAACCCATGCATGGCGATGAAAACTTACCATTTCCCAATATTCATCCACACTCCCTGAATAGTTTAGCTGGTACCCAATGCCCAGAATAGAGACTACTTTCCTGGCCACCCAGGCAGTTAGTTATGGTCATGTGACCAAGTTCTAGTCAGTGAAATGAAAGCAAAAACGCACGTGGTAGCTGCTAGACCCTTCCTGTCAACCTTGCATGCTTCACTTCATTTCTTCTTCAACCTTGCTGCCTAGATTAGAACACAGACATCTTGGGTGATGAGTTCAGGCTATGCTTAGTGGCACAAGAGAAAAGACAGCTGGGTTTTGGACATCAAGAACACCATACAGCCTGGAACTGCCTTCCCTGTGCTTTACACGATGGAGAAGTAAATGAGGAAAGCAGGAAGCCCAGAGCTGGCTGAGGCTGGGAGAGGTAGAGGAGAGAATGGGAGAGGGAGAGGTAGGAAGAGAGGGAAGAGGGAAAAGAGAGGAAGGAGGAGAAAGGGCACAGGGGTGGGCAAGAGAGGGAGAGGAGCAGGAAGGGCGGCAGGAAGAGGGGTCGGGTGAGGCCTGAGGTCTGGGTAATCATTTGACTTTTGCTTCCTGGAGCCTTATAAAAGCGGGTTAAATTGGAAACCATTAGCTATGATACTTTCTACAAATTACAGAAAACTAATTCAAAATGATGGCAATCATAATGTGATGTGCTCATTAGCTCAGGAACGAAGGTTGTAGGTAAGATGGGCTCTGGCCCCACACAATGGCTACTACAGCTTCAGGTATCGTGTTTAGACAGAGCATTGCTCAGAGTAAGAAGATGGACCTTCTCCTCTGTCCCTTTAAAAGTGAAGAAACCTTTTCCCATAAGCCTCCCTGCATACTTCCCTTCCACTGCCACTGGCCAAAACTAGATTATATATTCATTACTAAAGCAATCACAGGCAGAGAATGGGATGATTACAAGTAAGAAACCATTCAAATTCACTCAGGTCTACCTCTGGACCTGGGGACAAGATCACCTTCCCCTGAGTCACACAGGAGAGGGATAGACACAGGACCACTACTTCTGGTGGCGCAAGCTGTGCACTACAAGACTCCAGGGGTCCCCATTCACATTTCCAGTCATTGTAACATGTAAAGTTATTACAAAAACTTTCCAGAAGATGGCAGTAAGGACTTGGAGAAAGGACAGCTTTTTCTGATTCACACAAATTCATAGGTAGTTAACTAACAAAAATCAAAATTATGCTAGAAGGAAGGTCAGGGTACAGGTGGGAAATGAGTGCCTGAGAAGTAATGAAAGTTCTGCAACATAAAGTAATTAATTAAATTCACTGTAAACCTTTTAAAATTATACGTGGTAAATTCTATTTTAATGAAAGAATCCATTCCAGGTTTAAGAAAATTTTTAAAAATCTTTATTCAATTCCAATATAGTTACTCTGAAAAAAAATAGATATTCTAAACTGAAAATCATTATGTACGAAATCCACTGTATTTACCAATAAGAAGTTTTTGAAAATTTGTCAAGACTGATTTTTATAAAAGCAGCAGCATCCACGTAGCAAAGATCCCATTCTGTCTCTCTTATCAAATAATTAAGGTACACAGAAAATTACTACACTTTGAAAAAAGATACCAATTGAATGAATTATCACTGAAGTTTAATCACATTATAAGACATGATTAATTTTAAGAAATCTGAGATTCAAAGAAAACATTAAATTTCCTTCATTATTTCTGTCATGAACCCTCTTAATATCAAAGCAAAACTGTACATATAACTATGTGATAAAAAATGCAAGTTTTCTTTGGATCAGTTTACACTGCGGGTCAATAGTATATGCAACGCGTGCGATGAAACGGAATTCCTTTCATACCATTCCTGTGGTCTCGGGCATAGTCCCATAAGTAATAATCCAGAAGAATGGAATTGATCTCGTCACTAGATTTTTCACCCTTTTCTTCAATAAGCTCCAGAAGACAATCACGGATCAGCTCAACACACCAAAGTGAACACCCTCTGATTTCCACCTCTTGCCTACTCCCATATGAAAGCATTTCTCCTGCAAGGGGAAAAAAAAGAGCAAGAAACACAATAATCTAGATGAACAACAAGGTCCTACTGTATAGTGCAGGGAACTATATTCAATACCCATCCAGGTAGAGCCATTGGATGAGACGACTGCCCCCGCTGACAGCTTGACTACAACTGAGTCAGAGGCACTCAGTTAACTAGCACACAGATTCCTGACCCAAAGAAACTATGAGATAACAAATGTTTGTTGTATTAAGTAATTAAATTTTAGCGTAATTTGTTACACAGCAACAAAAGCTATCATGTTGAACTGTGGCCCTTTGCCCACCAAAAATACATCTAAGTCCGAAGTCCTGGTGCCTATGAATGTGGCTTTATTTGTAAATGGAGTCTTTGCAGATGTAATAAAGTTAAGATGAGGTCACACTGGGTTAGGGTGGGTTTTCAATACCATGACTGTTGTCATTAAACAAAAAGGAGAGGATACAGCGAGACAGAGGAGACACACAGGGAAGAAAGTCATGATTGGAGTGATGCAGCTACAAGCTGAGGAAGGCTAAGGGGACTGGAAGCCACCAGAAGCCAGGAAGAGGCAAGGCAGGATTCTTCTCAAGATCTTTCAGAGAAAGTATGACCCTGCCGACACCTTGATTTCAGACTTCTAGCCTCCAGAGATGTGAGAGAATAAATGTCTGCTGTTTTAAGTCATCAAGTTTATGGTAATTAGTTATGTCAGCTTAGGAAACTAATAAAGTAACTAATACAACAACTTATAGTATGGGATAGGACATGGACTTTGAAACAGAAAAAGAATGAACCATTTGAGAGGACAAACACAGATTAGAGTCAGGGAAGGCAACATGGCCAACATACTAGGCCTAAAAGTCAGCCATAGAATCACACTGAGGAATCTAATGTAGCCAAACTGCATTGTCAGTTTTTATAATTGACTAAAAAAAAAGTAGGTCTTTGGTGAAGAGAAGGGTTAAAAATAAATGCACAGGAATCTGGGAAGATCTTCCAAGGGCTGCCCTGGAGATATCCAGAGAGAAGAGAAGGAATACATGTGCATTATCCTCAAGTCTGGAAGAAGTACCACTGGAGGCCAGTTAAGGAAGTTCTACCTCATCCAGTCAAGCCACCTGGTTCTAGATTTCATTTAAAATAGGTTTTAAAAATCGGTGTCCTTTACTTACGTGTGCTCCTTTACATTTATAGTTTCTGTTTCTCCTCTCATTTGCTAGTAAAGTACTTTCTGGAAAAAAAAAATTCTAACTTTGCTTAAAAAAAACTAAAGGGCAAAGGAATTTGTTTCTCTTATGCCAAACTAGCTAAGGACAGCAGAGTATCCTTTCAGAAGCCGGACATGGTGGAGGAAGTAACAGCTGCACCTGGACATCTGGAAAAGAGCCTCTGGAGGTGAAATGGATGGCAGGAGAAAACTCAGACAACTCTGTACAACAATGCTCGCTGATTCCTTGTCACCAGGGTTTTTCTCACAGTAGCAGAGACAGCTGAGTGCTATAAAAATTCAGCAGAAGGAGACAGAGAAACCATGGGAAGCCAGGAAAAGCAATGTGGAAGAGGTAGCATTTGAGCTAAACCTTTATGGATGTGCAGGATTTGAATTGAAAAAAAGAAAATTTGGATGAGGGAAACCAGGCAAGAGAATGTTTAGAGAAAGGAATAAGCACTGTATACACGGGCCAAAACCAGTCCAGCCAAATATGGCTGTATGTAAAAGAAGCCCTGACTGCTAAATGCTGTTGCTTCGAAAGCTATCCCACAATTAATGACCCCGGGGGTGAGCTTTATGACATAAAACAGCTTTTTATTTTTCAAATGAGGAAATGGGCAAAATGGATTGCCCAAGGCTGCATAAAAACCTGGTAGAAGCAACCACAGGAATAATGGTACCTTTATATTCTCTTAGTCTGGGTGATTGAAATCTATTTTACAAGAGAAAACTATTTAATCATAAAAACTACTTCTTTTAAAAACAAAGAAAAAAGTAGTAAAAATACTGCACCTAAAGAGAGAAATTAACATAAAAATTATACAATATGATTATTTTTCTTATACAAAGAAGTGTTTAAAAAACAAAAGCTACTTGTCCCACAAACATATTATCGATACTCATGTATTATAGAAAGACACCTACTCTTGAGAATCAATAATCAAATCCAATAATGGTAAATAAATAAGCCTAGAAAAGTGAGTGACTTGTGCAAGATAAACCAGTGGCAGACCTTGGAGTCCCCGACTCAAAATCCAGTACATATTACTTATCTCTCAATCCTTCAGTCCACCTTTTATTTCACAGTGTAGTATGCTCTTCAGCTTAATTAACATTCTTTAAATACAAACCTGAACTGTCTTAGTGTTCACACTTTCATGTGACATAAATTTACGTTTCAGTTTATTATGAGGCTCTGAAATGATAATGTCCAAATACTGTGATTTCCCACAATATCCATATTCCACAGTGTAAACAACAAAAAGTAATTTTCTCTATACTTTAATTATCCTTGAATTCTTCTTTATATGTGCTTTTAACAATAATAGTGTTTTCTTTTTCTAAGGAAAGGAGACCTTTTGTGAGAGAAACTAGACAAAGACTCAACAACAACTCATAATATAACAAAGAATGTCTTAATTAAGCTGGCAAACCTTTGAGAAGCTTCTCCAGTAGTTCATCAGAGTATTTCAAGGCTCCCAGGTAAACAAGAACCTGAGGCAATCTATAGTCAGCAAACATGGTGATACTGGAGATATCCTTAAAGCAGCCGTCTCCTTTTCCCTCTAATACACTCCACGTATCTGCCACGAGGATTTGGGCACGTTTGTAAAAAGAAATTCTTTTCCCCTGATGGGTCAAGAATATAAATGTTACCTGGGTATCTGAAAGCTTTATGTATGCAGTAAAAAAAAAAAAGGCACACAGAGAAAACATTTCTCAAGGGTAGAATAATCTTAGTCTGTCAGTAAGAATTTACAGACCTTTTACAGAAAAAAAGAAGGGAGTCTAATATATATTAAATTATCTCTATCACTTCAAATTTACTTCCGATATTTTTCAAAGCACATAAAATATAATTTGTGTAGTCATGGTACTCTTTAGTGTTCTTTTTCAATGGTATTACTTCATTACATATTTCTGTGTCACTATAATTCACCTGCTTACTATTTCTAAGGGCTAGATAGTATTTCTTAAGAAAGTTCGTTAAATTAAAAAAATACATATTTTTTATGATTGCAACTTAACTCACATTAATTGTATAAAACCTGGAAGAGTATATGGAAGAAAATAATCATCCCTGAACTCACTTCTGAAGAGAACTACAACATTCATTTTTTTGTTTCCATTTAGCTAATATGATTAACTTATTTCAGAGATAAGGACATAATTGATCAAAAGCCAGAATTTATCAAGTCTACCATTTTTGGAAATGGTCCAAGTCAATATGTTAGTCCATATAACAAAATAAATTACCAATTATATTTATACATGGAAGAAACACATTTAAGCAGGCATTGTAAGATAGTGGGTTATAATTTAACTCAAAAATTCTTGATAAAACTATAAATGCTCATAGTATTGAACTGTGGAAAAACACAGAGACAGATAATTATCATCTATTTCTAGTCCTAATACCAATGCTAATAACTTCAAATCATCTTTTATAATTGCTAGTCTGCTAAATAGGAATAATCAATATCACCGGCTCCCAAAATACATCCTGACCACCTTGGAAAATATTTTAATACGTAGATAACATAAAGTAAATAAAAAATGAAATTAAATTCTTTAAGGAAAGGCTCCATATAAAAATTCCTTAAGATAACAACATAGATTCCTTTATTTATTAAAAAAAACTCCAATGATACTCTATCCTAATAAGAAATAATCTAATATTGCTCACCTTAAGGCCTACCTCTTGCAATCAATCCAGACCTACTTTTACTATGTAAATTAAATTTTCTAAGGCCACCACTAAGAAACTTAGTGTCTTGTTATCCAGAGTAAAAACATATGCTGATTTTTTTGAAGTCTGTAAATTTAATTGAGTGTTGGGGGAACAAATCATCAATAAGAAATATCCCTCTATCATTTGGGAATATAGATTATTTCCAACATGGCAACTGTTCATCTATATAGAGGAACTTAGTCATGGACTTACATATGGTAGGTAGGTTTCTAATTCAAGTCTATTTCTTAAACAGCAAGATATAAAACTTAATTTACAAAATAAAACTGTGTATCAAACAAAATCATCATGTTTATTTACTACAATAGAGATTACTGTCTCCTATTTTTTAACAAGATTCATAGAGCAAATTGGAAAAATCTAGGAACCAGATTTATATAACAAAATCAGTGCCAGCATCTAACAAAACATAAATTGTCACATCATGAGCACTGTTTCCATGGTAGTCAATTAGTATATCACAAAATTAGATTACAATACCTTAAAATGAAAACAAAACCAAAAAAATTCAAGTGAACAATCTAAAAATAAATTAAAATCATCTATAAAACATTTCCTTAAGCTGATATGTACTCAAATAATTTTAGTAATCAAATATTCTACACCTCTAAAATATTAACTGGTATCCCCAAAATACCAGTAAATCCCAAAATAACAATTCCCTGTATGTTCCATAATATTGCTTTGAAAATAAAATATTTTCAAAATAGTACCTTTATAAAATAATTGTCAATGTAAAACCCTATAACCATGAGTTGATTTTCTGCAGCAAATTTATCATGAACATATTACAAAGGTCAAGAATTACAAATGCTTAAGAGGAACATGAAATGTTATTAACTAAAATGTCAAAAAAGCTCATGCTTTTCATGTATATTTATCAGTATGTCAGAGTAAAGGACACCAGTTTATTAATTAGGACTTTTACATAGCTACTGTATGTTCTAAATCAGACTCACTTGAAGAGTTTAAAAAAAAAACTGCTCTTTCTCTTTTACCCATAGATCAGAATCTTTGAGGGTAGTGCTTTGAAAATGTGTCTGAATTCTAAAGCTTCCCTGATTCTGGGGCACAGCCAGGTTAGGAAATCACTGATTCAAATTTGTCTGAATTAAAATTTTCTAATTTCATTAATTTGTTCATAATGTCTAAAAATAAATGATAATCTTAGCAAATACATATAACATTAAAAACAATTGTAACTATTTAAAAAATACAGCAACTAATAACATGACCATATTAAGAAGAAGCAAGGAAAAAGGCACTCTCATATGCTGCTGGAGCATCTTTGCTATCACCCTCCTGGAGAAGAGTTACTGTTTTACGTATTACAAGCCTGAAAATCCTGGCCATGCTCTGACTCAGTAATTCCATTACTAGGAATCCATTCTAAGAAAACAATTATGAGTGTTAAACTATTGTGCAGTATTGCTTATTATCACACAAAACTGAAAAAAAAAGATGTAAAATTCAATTAAAAAATAAAACTGTATCACAATTATTGTGGTAGAATAATTTGGGCAAATAATTATGGTATTGTACATCCATACAGTGGAATACTGTGAAGTCAATAAAAATAGTTCTATGGAAAAAAATTGTGCTGTGAAAGAATTTTTATTGACACAGATGTTCAAATATGTTAAACTTTCAAATAATTTATGTGGCTTAATTCTCCCCAGCCCACATGTATACACATTCACACACATAGAGAGACCAAACTGCGTGAACAGTGGTTACCTCTTGGCAGAATAGAGACTGCTTCTCTGTACTTTTCAAAATCTATAATTAATGTTTTACTTTTGAAATTAAAAATTTTTTAAATATGGATAAAAAGATATTTGATTTTAGCACTTTCTAAATTCAAAAGCAACACCAAAAGTTCATTAGAATTCCTTTATACTTGCTATGAATTAAGCAGAGTGCTTTAATTATTTGTATGTCTTTTAAATTAATATGCAAAGATAACTGTAGATTAATTAATTGAAGGATTAAGTGAGCACCCACTATATGCTCAGTGTTATGTTAGGAATCATAGGGATTCCAGAAATACAGTGCTTTTGGATAACACTAATGATAATCTTATGAAAAAAAGAAAAAAATAATACTCCTTTAAGAAATTGTTAAAATTTTTAAGTTTGATTTTTGTTACATTTTGGGGATTTTTCTGTAAGAATTATTTTAGAAATGAGTACTGATGGGAAGTGGTTCAGATACTAATCTTCATTTTAAAATCTATCAGCCTTAAATTAATCTATATCCTGGTACAACTTTTTTACCGAACTTTTTAGCATACGTAGCAAATTGAAAGAAAGCACTGTGTCGTAAATTAAACAGAAATTCAGCAAATGCTTCCTAAATCAACATTGTAATTTACCAAAAAAAATACACTCCTTTCTTTCACAAAAACAAAGACTCAGGACAATTTGTAAGTACCCAAACTACAAGGTGTCCTGAATTCATTCCACCCTAAAGTCATGTTAAGTTTCACCTTAACTCTTCTACTACAACCATGTCGATTCTGGATACATGGATTCTTAGCCACATGAATGGCAGTTTGATTTCTTTTATATGCTGTTTAATATATTTAAATGGCTTGAATGATGGACCAAGGAACTTGATCCAACTTTCCTGAAAAACAAGTTTGAAATGACATACTCTGAAAACAAAGATAAATGTCTTTGCAATAGTAAAATGGTAAGTCAGAAGAGAGTGAAGTTCAACAGTGGCCTACGGTCTCTTTCCTAGAAACTGCCTCTGTCCGCAGCCACACTTAATTGGTCATAATACATGCCAGTTCAAACAGCCTTTGCCCAGGAATTTTAGAACTGAAAGTGAGAGTTTTTCCCTTTCTCTCCCTGGTGGCTGAAGCAATAAAATGCAACATTCATGGGCCTTTTCTACTTCATGGAGAAAGCTGGTCTGCAGTAAGAGAAAAATAGAGTCCACAGAATGCAGAGAGACTGAATCCTGATTGCACTGAGTCCCTGATCCTGGATGTTCCTATCCCCAATACTCACCCCTAATTCTTCTTTTTGCTCAGGATGTTTCTTGTTTTGTGTCTGTCACTTGCAATTAAAAGAATCTTAACATGTATACTCAGGCATCTCTCTCGCTTCATAGTAGAATTGAAACACTAGCTATTACCTGACTAAATGACCTAAGCTAGACTAGCTAACCTTTCTTTTTTTTAGACTTTGGTTCCTGGTCTGCAAACAGGACTATATTGCTACTTGTCCTTAGGCCCTACAGAGCTGTTCTGTGGATCAAACAAGAGGGTGTGTGCAAACACCCTGTAAATCATAAAAAGCGACTTGAACAATATTATCGGTAATTTTAGTTGCTGTTGAATAGTGATTACAAAAAGATAGCTTTAAAGTTGAGTTGATAGAAGTATTCATTAACTTAGTCAATAGATTTATATTACATGATCTCTCTGAAGTTGCTTTCAATTCTATGTCACAGTTCAAATCACACTGTGATAAGATTCCAAAAGAATTATACAAAAACAAAATTCAGGTGTATACTGGGACAGTATACAAAATGTTCACCATTTTAAAAATATGTCTATTTAAGTTTTTTTGTACCATAAATGAAATAATACTGTTAAAGTAGCCTGTGCATGAAGAAGAAAACACATAGTATATATACACTAGAACTCGGCAAGAAATTTTTTTATTAGGGAGAATTTAGTATATATCCTGATTTTCATCCAATGAAGTACATTATTTTGAAGTATTAAAAGGACCTCATTATCTCTAAGTGACAGCATCATTTTTTTTAGGTTTGAAATATTTTAAAGGACAAAAAGAAAAAGACAAAAGAATAAAGGGAATATATTGATTAGAACTCATTAAGAGAAGTAATGTCTTTGAAACACTACTTAAAAATTTTGTTACTGTTCACAAGGAACAAATTCCAAAATTAAAATTTTGGGTCTCAAAAGGAGTTCTGGAAGTAAAAGAGTTAACTATGAGAAGATAATTAAGAAATCTAAAATGCCCAACTGAAGCAACTCACCTCAAACTGAGTTACATCTCTGTAAGAAGGAAAGCTTTCAACTACCAGGTGCATTAACTTCTGTGCACTTTTTTCACTTTTTCTGACACAATTAAGAAAAGAGCCTTCAAATTTCTCAAGCAGAATTCTCCCGGTTTCATTGAGAATTCGATGCCTCTCTTCTATCAAAGGCATGGGAACATCTGTGTCAGAACGAAGTATATGCCGAACCTGATCAAGGGTTACTGTGGCATAGTAGGAAGCACTAGTTATTGGTATCCCTTAGGGAGAAAAGAAAATGCAGAGGAACGTCATACTTTTACATTCATTAGGTCCTCGATTTTACAACATACAATTAATATGAAACCACATGAGTGTTCCAGGAATGCACTGGAAGTGGATGTATAATTAAAAATCAGAAACAGATCCCTCATTTTCTATTTGCTCGTTTGTATTTGTTCATTCATGTCCAACAATTGTAATACTACAGCAGATGTATTTTGGCTGGGTAGAGTGTGTTACACAGATGTCATCAAGTAGTGTTCTTCAGAAAACTGACTTTTATACTTAGCTGCGACAATAAATACTAGGACCATTTCCCACTGAATAAAGATTTGGTGCCAGCCTCCCGTTAGACTTTTATTTTTAAGCAGAGGTACTGGCCATGAAGAACTTCAGCTTATCGACACATTATTCCATTTCCCAACCCAGTAAACTGAAACCTTAAAGCTGCTAGGTCTGACCGGAAGAAGGGGCACCAACCTTCGTCCAGGGCTCTGTTGACCGCGGCGCACAGGGACCAGTACCCACTGTACGTCTTCCCCCGATATCCCACCAGACTTTTGTGCTCGTCATGCTCCGACCAGAAGGAGAAGTTGAGCGTGTCTATCACGAACACCCAGTTGACCGCGGCCTCGTCGGCCGCTCTGGGGTTCAGCTCGTGAAGGGCCTTCCAGCCCCCCACGCGCAGCTCGGGCCCCGCGGCCTTGGTGAGCAGCAGTTCGGCCACCCTCCGCACGCCCCCGCCGTCAATGAAAACATCCCGACTGTTTTCGGCAATGAATTTTGCGGACTCCCTGGGGGTCAGCAGCCCGTCCATCCCGCCCCTCCCCTGTGGGACTGGGGACCGACGCTTTCGCCCGCGGGCTGGCCAAACTCTCTTCCCTCTCTAGGCGGGACAAAGGCCCAGGGGTCCCGTGCGACTCTCCCTCCCTTCTCTCCGTGGGATTGCCGCCCTAATAGGATCCCGCCCTCCCAGAGCGGCGAGGAGAGCCAACTAGCTCCGAACCCTTCTACCGCCGCACCCGCACGGCTGGGAAACTGCAGATCGCGGGGCCGCGCGCCGGGCTGAAGCCGCAGGCATTTCCGGGAGGGAGGCCCCGCCTACTCGCGTGCCCGAGACCCGCTTCCGGTTCCGAAGGTCCGGAAACCGCTCTGAGGGGTTGGCCGAGCGCCAGCCAGGAGTTCCCAGCCCGAGACGTGGGGCTTCGTGGTTTTGCCCATGCTCCGACCCTCCCTCGGGTAGGTGGGCCTGCGTGCGTCGCCGTGGCCCGAGTCACGGTGACTCCAACCGGTGTACTGCGTTGTCCTCACTCGGCTCCCGCCCTTCTCTCCACGGAGGGCGAAGTCTGGGCCAGACGCCCTCGGTCACGCCCTGCATCCGGGTTCCTGGGACGCGACGAGCTTTATGGCCGCGGGTCGCGGTGCGGGGGGCCGGCCACCCCTAAGACTGCGACACCGGTTGGCGGTCCCCACACCCTCATCCGCCAGGCAGACTTGTCGTTTATTGTGCTGAATTCTTGGTCTATTTCGAGGTTTAGGATTAGTTGAGACTTTTGGAGAAATGGATGAGAAAACAAGTGTATTAATTTGTTATATGGACATTATGTTCCTGGAATTGTATTTAAATACCAAATTTTATTTAGTCTCCGGCCGTGACAAAAGCAGCAGTTTTAATCCCCGTTTTACAAGAGAAGCTGACTAGTTAGTGGTTAGTGCCTGGTCCCAGCAATGGTCTGGGCTGATACTAGATCTCCAAGTCAAAGGCACTTTCTACCAGCTGAGCTCACCAATGCCAACCAACCTCGTCAAGTAGTGACTCTATCACTGGCTCTACTGTAATTATATATCTGTATCTACTGAGGAGGCGACATTATTAAAGGATATAAATATCACCTTACAGCCTCAAACTTTTAAAAAATACTTTCTAGCACGATGAAGAGAGAGCTTTAGGAGTCAATTTAGCAATGATCCAAATTCGCCTAATGGTGAAATTTTTGTATAGATGCGTGTATTTTTTTCTCCTTCGGAGATTTAAACCCCCATGGATCATATAATACGTTCACATCTTTGAAAATCAACTATTGAAAATAACCATCAGTAATCATCTCTAGTTATTGCATTTGGGGGAGGATTTGGAACTTTTAAGTCTGACAGCTGTACCCTAGAGAAGCAGAACATCTTCATCCTTCTAGTTTCTTTATTTGGATAAAAAGGAATTTTAAGGGCTTCACTAGAATTTATTCTTCCAGAAAAAAGTCACTAATACAGTAATACAATTGTTGAATAAATCTGTCCTAGCAGTTCAAAGTCTTGAGATTCAAAGAAGTTGATTAGCAAGCAAATCTAGCAATTTACAAAAGAATCCAAGAGGTTAAATTTATGCCATTACCTCTTACTGAGGCTTGTTGACAGAAAAAAAATTAACAGTTGAATTCCTACTATGTTCAGGATATTGAGTTAGACACAGGAGTAGCATAAACAAAAATAAAACATGCTTCCTTCTCTCAAGAAACTTGTCGAGGTAAAGCATAAACTGTGTGTGTGTGTTTTGTTTTGTTTTGTTTTTTGTCTTTTAAAGTATGTTTGCAAGGTGCTGGGAATACAAAAAGTGAGTTCTTTACCTACTCAACATCCTTTCCCTCCTTCTTCCTGTCCAACAGAATCCCGATGTTCAGGAATCTCTCCCTCTTAACCCGCAATTGGTGTAGCACAGCATTCTCAGCTCCAGGGGTGGTCTGGACTGGTCTAAGGGTAATATCACCCACTTGCCAGGGACTGGATTAGAATCATGCATTTTCTCCTGTTCACTTCAATGAGTTGCAAGGGTAGGTTTGCAGGATACTTCCAGAAAAGCTTTTCCAGGAGAACTTCCAAAATTGATTCCTGCTCCCTCTGGACGTGGTTGAGCTTGGATATGAGGCTTAAAATTGCTACAGTCCTGTTGATGGCACCCTGAGTATGAAGTCGACACACGGGGGAAGCTAAAAGAATAGCAGAGAAGTGGAACTGGAGTAATGGGATTATGTCAACTCAACTCTTAAGTTTGTCCTACTTTTGGATCTCTAGATATGTAAGTTAACAAACTTCCTTATAGTGAAAGCAGTTTTGAGTTGGATTTTCTATTACTTGCTATGAAAGCTTCCTGTCTTACACGGGTAGCAAATACAGACATGCCGTCTGACATCTTCTGATCTAGTAGGGTAGGCGGACAATCAAATGTCTGGGTAAAACTGTGCCTCAAGCATCATAAAACTAGACTCTAGTGACTAAACAAAAAGGGGATTGTTTTTACCATATAAGAAGTAGTCCAGAGTTAGGCACTCTAGGCCTGATGCAGCTATTTGAGAATGTAACTAGGCTCTTTCTGTCTCACTCTCTTTAGCATGTGGCTTTTGTCTTTATGGTTGTAAGATGGTTTTACCCTTAACAGGCATTGTGTCCACAAAAAGGAGGAGGAAAGTAAAGTGGGCAAAGGGCCAAGGGAACATGCCGTCTGAGTATGCTTCTTTTGAAAACCTTAGCCAGAAGCTCTATGCCATAGGCATAGGCCTTTGAAGAGAAGATCAAGGGAGGGAGGCATGATCAATGATGTGGTGTCCTTGTCATTTTCCCCATCCTGAACAGTGTTCAAGTTAAATAATTCCAGTCATCAAGAGAGCCATCCTAAAAAAAAAAAAAAAAAAAAAAAAAAAAAAGCCACCCTTCTGAATGGCTAAATTAAATGTCACGCATTGGCAACAATCATTGCTACATCTGCAATTTTGTCATGATTGACTATGACAGATACTTAAATAGTCGGTTAAAAGGTATTCTTGAAGAAAAGTTGCAAAAGGCAAAGAAGTAAAATGGATTTTGTGAAGATAGGATTATTTTCATTTCCCCCAACTCTTCCAAAGAGATCAATAGACTATAAAGCCCCAAGAAGGCTTAGCAGAAAAGAGAGATGGTTCAATACTATGTAATTTTTCTCTTTTCCTTTTCTTCTTGATTTATCCATATATAGCATTTAAAATTGACCCCTTCCTTAAAATTTACTCTTGGGTTCTAGGGCATTGTGTTATCCTAGTTTTCTTAGTACCATTGAAGGCTCTTTCTCTTCTTACTCTCTTATTGTATGTAAAATGTCCCATCTACAGGCTATGGCTTAGGGACAGAATGGACTCTTTCTGGTGAAAACTCAGACTCAAATACTTCCAATTTCTGTTTTAAAATAGTTAGTTATAATAGAATAAACATATCATTTCTATTACATTTCATTATTACTACAGTTCAAAACCAATTATGGGAGAAAATATTTGCAAATGATATGACTAAAAAAGGCTTAATTTCAAGAATATATAAACAGCTCATACAACTTAATAACAAAAAA